AAAACATAAATGGTATAACATTATGTGTTTATTTATACTTCTTGCATATTCTAATGTTTCAAGTAATATGATTCAGAAAAGTATGAATAAAAATTCAGTACTTATGTATTAACGCCACAGCAGCTACAGATTTGGCTGTTTTTAAGTGCCGCCAATCTACACCTAAAATTTTTGTGACTAATCATAAAACGAAACACTTTATTTAAAATCAAAGTAGTTTATCGGATTTCAGTGGACAATGGGCAAAATGTTTCGCTCCAGAAAAAATAAAATTGCATCTTGTTCTATTTTTGGCAAATCGCAAAGACGCATTTTCGTAGCACTAAAAAATGGTAACAAAAATCGAAGAACAAATCATTTTGGAATTCTTCTGTTTTATAAAGCAGATAAGTGTTAATTTTAATAAAATAAAATTTTACTTTTAAGTAGTTTTTTTCTTGATGATAGTTTTCTATAGAATGGTTTTCTACGTCCGATTATGAATCAAAAAAGAAAAAACATTAAAGTTGTTTATTTTAATATAAGGAATTTTTAGAATATTTTTTTTTTTTTTTGTATCGTAAGCATTCTTTACTTTACGTTTTTCAGTTTCTAAATAATGCTTTTTATTAAAACTTAAAATTTTTTGATAAAATTACTTGTCAAAAAACTTTATTTACAAAATTAAATTACATAAAATTATGAAACTTATGTATACTTTTTGCTTATTTTAATGTTTGAAGTAATATGATTCTTAAAACTATGGAATAATTCCATTTTAAAAATTAGATTTTTCGGTGACCTAAATCTATGACTTTTCATGATTTGTTTAGAAAAATATTTAAAATCATGACATTTCATGACAAATTTTGTTTGATACCGAAATTTATGACTTTCCATAATTTCTCATAACTTTCCAGGTGAGCAGATACCCTGCATTTAAAACGAGAACAATAAGTGTTGTCAATGCTCAGTGATCCAATCCATTACAGTTATTCCATAAATGCAGGGGTTGCAATAAAATAACATTAAGATCGAGAACAATAAGTGATGTCAATGTTTAGTGATGCAATCCATTACAGTTATTCCATAAATGCAGGGGTTGCAATAAAACAAAATCTAATAAAACAGGCTACCCTTAATAATATATTTTCAAAATCTTTTTCACAAATTAATATCTTGATATTGAATCATTATTGAGAAGCAAAAGATTTAAAATTTGATTATTAAAATTTGAGTGCTGGAGGAAACAAAGGGGTATTGTTTACACACCTTCGAAATACAACCAGCAAAGAAGTTGAGTTTCCCATTCTCTCTTTCTGATAATGCGATTTTATTTTTTAGACATTAATTTGCGAAATCGAATTTGCACATTTTTTTAACAGTGATTCTAAGAAACGAGGTCAAAGGTCGTGCTTAGGGAACTCTATCTCCATTAAATTACACTAATACATTTGCTACCCCTAATACGTTCATTTCTTTGATAGAGATTCTATGTTAAGGGTGGTGCTTACGGAACAAAACTTTAAAAAATCATTGACATTAGTGACTGAAAGCTTAAAGTTTGTTTCGGAGCGTGCAATAGCAAAGAAAATACAATAAAATGAAACTATAAAATGTTTCTGAATAAAACTATAAAATGTTTTATTCAGATTTAAAAACTTAGTTTAATAATTTCTTTACAATGCTCCCTGAACCATTCTTATTTCCGATTTCAACTATTTATGTGAATAAAACTGGTTCTAATTGACCCATACGATGAGCATCGGTATGCTTATCAATAGTTTCAATGGGCCGGGATAAAATATCTCAGTAACAACACATTGTTTTAATAAAACGCCCTTTTGCCTATCTTTTATGTTATAAAATTTTTCTGTTAACTTCTTTTAGTGTCACGGAATCTTGAAATTAAAATTTCAAACACTTTCTAAATATCTCGTGCTTTGTAAACTCTTCTTGAGCTTGTTGCCTGACGATGAGGAACGTTTTAATGCTTCATTGATAGCTACGAATATAATTTATCTTCATATTATCGCAAAATAAAATTTATCCTCAATCAAAATCTATCTTCATCACTTTCAGAAAATTTGCCATATTTTTACTATAAGAAAATTATTGTCAATCCAAATTTCTGCAAATGAAATCTTCAAAAAGAACTGCATCGCTGCATTCAACTCTAATTTAAGTTAAATTTATTTAAATTTTGATTAAATTTAACTAATTTAAATTAAAATAAGTCCTCAAGGAAAAAATTTATCGCTTATCGAAATTTAGTTCTGTTTATGAAAAAATGAACCCAATAAAAAAATTTAAGAATTATGTTTTAAAGCATATTAGAAAAATAAAAAAATGGCTTTACTTCGGTTGGACCTAAAAAAAAACGAAAGGAGCATTGCTTTTGCTCTCAACGTCCATCAACATTAAAAATTCCTCTAACATTTTCACAGGGGACAAGCCCAACATGAAAAACGTAGTTTTAAATTTTTTTATTCATTTTAATTTATTTTTAAAAGTAACATTAAAATTAAGAGTAAAAAAAAGTTTGCTTTATCTTAATAATTAGAATTTGTTTATGCCTTACAAAATGGCGAAGAAAGGAATGAAAATTTTTAACAGTACATGTCTATCTTTCTTAAATTAAATGTCAAAACCAGCTGTTGAGTTGTCACAAATCATCATACGACAATCACTTTGTTTAACTTCAGCACCCTAAATCCAATTAATTTGTGGAACATATCAAGGCCAGATGGCAGTTGGCTTCTTAGGATATTAATTATGGGTAGCTAAGTATAAATATCCGGATTAAAAGAGACTCAATCCCATTAAGTTCTATCTTTCTTTCTTGTATACAGTAAGTATCGAAAATTATAGGTAAGTATATCGATTTCTTATAATTTATCACCATGGATTTGGGTTCGAATGCAAACTATTTGGAGACGGGTAAAGCGTTGATGCGTATGACGAGGGAGATGACCCTAGAAGAACAAGGCGAGAATTGCAAAAAAATTGAAAAAGGTCAGAATTATATGGACGCGGCACTTGGTATAGCCGGGGTGGCGTTAGGAGTGTTTGCCTTGTTCACCATGCCAATGCTAATTGTGGTTTCCTCCGCGGTATTAGTTAATGTACTGATTGCTAAGGCTTTAACAGCAGACGAGAACATTGAGAGAGAATGTGCTGATCTCCCTTTTAAAGAGTTAGACGAAAAAATGAAAGCTAGACAAGAAGAAACAGATAGAAAAATTGCAGAACAAAATGAAATTTTGAAAGAAGTAAATGAAAAAGTTGGCCAAACTCTCGACAAAATAGAAGATGTTAGAAAGGAAATGGGTGATAATTTTCAGAGGGTATTGAATAAAATTGGGGATCTAGATGCCAGTAATCCAGTTTCGGAGATAAAAACTGCGATCGAATCAATTTCATTTGGTGAAGAGAACAAAAGGTTAGCAACTCCTGACCGATATGTTTATATCATCCAGCAAGAAGTAGCAAAGAAATCCGACACTTCTCTTTACAACTACATTGGAATGCAAGGTAGTCTGTATAAGGCCATTTTTGCAGTGATTAACAAGAAGAATACCATTAAACCAAACATTGCCCTTCCCGGACTCAACATTGGAGTTACGACTTACGCATCGAGCGTAATTACTCTCATTCAGCAACTACGTTACATGTCGGAATATGTTTACCAAAAGGGTGATTTGAAAAAGTTCAACAACTTTTATAATCGTCTTATTTTCGATTTCAATTTTTTCAAACTAATTCTTAATGGTTCTTCGAGAAAGCAAGGTATCCTCGACCAAGTTATTCAAATTTTGAATGACGCTAAAAAAAGCAAAAGCAAGCAAGATCTTGGCGACGAATTGTTCGAAAATATTGGAAGATACATCACTCAACTTAATCAATTAAAGCAAAAGATTGCAGCCTTGTCTCTAAATGTACTTGAATCCACTCCAGATAATAACTTAGACATTGATTTCAATTCACGCACCGGTGATCAGCTTAGTAATACGAACTTCTTAGACTGGAAAGAAGGCACCAAGGTCAGTTACGCAGTACAGTTCGAAAAAGATGGTAAATATTCTAAAGTTAGTGACTGGACTTCACCACAGGATATAATGAAGAAAGCCAATCCGGATATTGTATTCCGGAAAACGAGCAATATGAATAGATTAGTCTTCCGCAAATTTGGTAATGGTGAAGCAGAATTGGCATACATCCTCCCTGGCTCAAAATCAAGCTTTAGAGACGTTCACAGGGATTTGTATAATTTAGCTTTTAAAAACTCCCTCAGTGAAGCGGAAGTTGAAAGTAACATGGATAGACTTATCAAATTAGGAGCAGATGTTAAAGCAGTTTTTGAGGGTAAACGAACAGTGATCCACGCTGCAGCTATTGCTGGTCGAACTGTTATGTTAGGTAAAATTTTAGAGAAGGAAGGTTCTCTCATTAATCTACAAGATAAATTAGGCTTCACCCCTCTTCACCTAGCTGCTGAAAATAAAAGGACAGATTTTGCACAGGGGCTAATTAATCGCGGCGCAAACGTTAATGTACAAGGACAGGAATATAAAGTGTCTCCACTGCATTTGGCTGTGCGTTACCATGCCGAGGAAATTGTAAAAGCTCTGTTAGAAAACTCAAACATTAACCCAAATTTAAAAGATATAGCCGGTCTCACTCCTTTGCATTATGCTGTTACTGATGAAAATTACAATAAAAAGCTTTTCACTACACTACTAACCAATCGAAAAACAGATTTGAATGTAAAGGATAACAATGGATTAGCAGTAGTGCATTATGCAACCATACTCAATCGCTGGGAAGAGGTAGTCGATTTAACTTTTGAAGGTGACAGATTTGATATCTATGCAAAAGATAACCAACAAATGTTAGCTGTTCATTACGATGCTATGAAAGGATATAAGAATGAACAATTAATATCTTCTATGATGGCGGATGACAAAGCATCTAAGCTTAATGATGCAGCAGGCGAGAAACATTGGACTCCTTTGCATTATGCTGCATTTTTCAAGCAAACTGCTTGGGTAAAATACCTGTTTCATTGGCATGAAAATGTGGTATCGAAGATTAATGTTGATGCCAAAGACGTTGATGATCAGACTCCTTTGCATTTGGCTGCTGCAGCTGGCTTGAAAGAAATTGTCAAAGAGTTGCTGGCTAATGGGGCAAAAGTTTACGAAAAGACGAAGAAACAAAATACACCTCTTGATCTCGCAGTTATGCACAATAGAAAAGAAGTTATTGATGATTTGCTGACATTTGAAAATAATCAAAAATTGAAAAATGGAAAGTCTGCTAAAGAAAATGATACTAAGGCATGTCAATTAGCAAAGGGAGAGATGTTAAATCTACTAAAGAAGAAGAATCGTTGTGGTAATTTCCGTCGCTCCAATGACGACAATTCTACAAACTCACCTCGGAAATTTGCGCCCATCGGCATGTCTGAAAACAATAGTTTAAGACCTTTGTTAATTTCGAATAAACCGAAAGAGAATTTGGAATTGAAAAATATTAATCCTCTAACACAAGTAGATGTAAATGGTGCCTTGCTTTTACTGGATCTCTTCATTCGAAAAATGACTAACGAAAAATACAATTCTGCTTGGATTGGTTCTCTATCTTTGTTAGATGCACGAGCTCGAGCTTTAAATATCACTGATAATTTGCAAAAGATCATGGAAATAGCAGGAAATGATGGGGATCTTTTTGACATTCATTCAAAGATATACAAGGCTATTATGAGCGGAAATGATTACAAACTTGTAAAAGAAGTATGCACCTATTTAAACCAGTATTCCACATTGGAACCACAAAAAGTTGAAAACATTATTTCTGCAATGGTTGAAAATAAATCTTTTGGAATTACTAAGAACGCAATTCAAGGTAACTTAGAAAACTTAATCGCTCAGGCCTGCTATCGAAATAACTTTTAAATATTTCCTTATTTTAAGGCAGAGCAAGTAAATTTAGTTTAATCGAAAATAACTGTTCACTAAAAACTAACAAATATATCTATCCGTTTTTTATTCTTTTCTTAATTATGATAAAAATTTGGTTGTACATGTGTTTTGTCATTGAGTTTTTATTATAGAAAATACGAGACAGCCAAAGGATTTATTATTAATATAAAGTTCACTCGAAATATATTTTCAAAATGTTTTTCTGAAATTATGTAAGCTTAGCCAATCAAAGTTAATTAGTTACAGATACTGGAATTACAGTTTTTTTTTCAGAAATAAATTTGAAACATATTTAAACTTCTTTTTTATCTTAAATAATTGATTACGCAGTGTAAATAATATTTTCCTAGACCTTTTTTATTATATTATGGACTTTCCCACCTTTTTTTGCTTTTTTTTTCACGATAAGTAATGAATTTAGAGCAGTACTGGTCAGTTAAAGTTAGAATTTCTGAACTGAAAAATAAAAGTAAAAAACGATTATTTTGCATTCATTGTATATTTAAGAAAGTCTGATGATTATTTTAAAATTATTTATAAACTGTTGAGTTATGTTTGTTTCAATATAATATTTCTTTACAAAATCTGAAAGAAGGCAAAAAATTTCTTTCATGATTAATTCATATGCAATAAACTTATTTTATCATTTTTTTTTACATTTTCCCTCTACATATATCTATTATTTATTTTTATATTGTACTATCTCACTCTTAAATATTATTTTTTAAATTTTTTTTTTTGCTTTACGCATTTGAAAAAACAAACAAACTACATCTTCATTTTTATCTTCCTTTTGTCAAACTGGTTTTCAAAACTCGATCCATATGAATAATTTTAAATACGGAAAAAAGTTTTCTGAAATCGGATTAATTAGAAATGAAGTACAGGCTAAGTTCGTTTGTTGTTATCTAAGTCAAAGCCGTTTGTTGTTACCTTTTTGTAAAATTATTAATTTTATCAAACATTCTTTCGAAATAGTTTTTATTTGGAAAAAGGGATATGATGCATTTGATTTTAAGTCATTTTCTGAACAAATGAAGATATTATAATTTAAAAAACACGTTCAGTTCTTATGAAAAAAAAACTACTTTCGTAGGTCAAATCATAGTCGGATGCTTAGTACCAAAAAATATTGTTTTATTAGCCTGTAACTTTTAAAAGAGATTGTTTGAAATAGAAAAAAAATGATTCTTATAAGTCATAGGTCCCATGAAGCCAAATCTGGCAATCTGCAGAAATAGTGCGGAATTCTGGTTCACACAGATAATCGACAATACATAATAAACAAAGGCATAATATCATAGATAATAACATAGACGCATAAAGACGTAGATAACAATACGTAAGGAATACGATAATATCGTGAGCATTATTGGTAACAATAATTACCGAATACGATAATGACACGAAGATTATCGGTAACATATAAAAAAGAACTGCGAATATCAAAGTACATAAGGATAATTATTGAATACGGTATAATTGAGAGTTTTGATAAATTTTAGTTAGATAAATTGATTGAAATTAATTGATATACAGATTTTAATAGAAAATTTTGATTTGTAAGGAAATTTTTTTTGTATCAATTAGGTTCAAATTAATTTTGCTGTTGGTTTTTTTCAAATTTTCTATAAAGCGGCTTCACAGAGTAATTGAAAATATTCGAACATAAGGAAAATTTATTCTATCGCAAAATTTTTTATTTTAGAGGAATTTTTTATTTTCGAGACTGTTTTCTGTTTCAAAAATATCAAATATAATTAAAAAATAATTCTAAATAATTAAAAAAAAATGAAAAATTAATTTACGATTATTACCAATTACGATTAGCACGCATGTTCATAAATATTTTTATATTCCACCACTGATTTTCGTATAAATTATTTGTCAAGATTGCAATTTGTTGCACAGTAATGTAAAAATAACACATCATTTACTTGAATGATTTATATCCAGCGGTTTCAGTGCCTTCAAAAAACAGCCTTAAGAGTGAAATTCACTTGTGGTGAGTCTTGAAAATGAGCGCCCAATTTTGAGTGAGCAAAATATGTCAACGTTATTCTCCTTAAATATTTTCGAAGCAAATGACGCTTTGTCAATAATCAGTCTTATAGGAGTTATTTCCACTACCGTCTATATATATAAAGCCAAATCTTGATGCTTGTAACGTCACGCGTCATAAACTTGCGTTTTAAAGTTAAGTGGGGAAAACGCATTGAAAAATATAAAAACGAACAAAATTAATATGTATGACTTCAAATCTATATACAAAATAGTGTACCTTATTGTTTAAAAAATTGTGTTACTATTGTCTTTACTAATTTAATTGAGAAACGAAATTTCGTCGAACGAAACTAACTATTTTTATAAAAATGTTTATGATATTTTGAAATCGAAAGTAAATAAGAGAAAATTTAGAAATGTACTTATGAAAAAATAAATTTGTAAGAAATTAACAGTTCATCACTTCGAATTAAAAACTATAATAATTAAGAAATCAAAAATTCTTAATGGAAATATTTTTCTGCTCTAAAAATATTAAGAATTCAATTCCAGCTGTTACAAAACATACAGAGATCTTTATTACGGAAATGTCTAAATTGTATGCATTGTCAGGATAACACATTTAATCTTTCAAATTTCCAACAGATATATTGGAAAATGCCAGACTAAAAAATGATATTATATAGCAAAAATTAAATTTGGATGTAAGTTAAAACATAAGAAATTTATAAGTTATTATTTCAAAAGAATAAAATTTATATTATTTAAAAAAGTGCAAGTTAAACTATTACCTCAAAAGAAGCTGGTAGCAAAAGATGTATAAAATTACATTAATCTAATGAAGTAAATTATCCATAACAAGAAAAGCATAAACACTGAAAAAATATCATCAACAGAAAATTGTATTTAACAAAAATGAGGAATAAATTTCTCATTTTTGGAAAAACTGGTTTATTCCAGAAAATTTGGCTAAAGATAAAGACAAAATTAATATTAATCTTGCGAATTTGATTAATATTTTAGTATTTTAAATCAAGAAGTATATTTAAATTTAAGCAAGAAATTAAATGTTTAGTAAAATTGTGCAAAATATGACCAATATATATATATATATATGTTTTGTTCAAACAATGAGGAATTAATTTTTTTAAACATTAGTTCTGTAAAATACTTGTAATTTTAATAAGAATAGATATATTACCTGAGAGTTAAAATCTTTAGAACAATAAAAGTTAATTACCTAAAGGAATCGATATTCAAGAATTGTAACGTGGATATAAAATAAATTATCTTGTCAGCATTTTAGAATAAATTCATACAATTATTAAAGGACTAAAAATTATGAAGCATTAAAAACTTGACTAAAAACATATTTAAAAATCGACGTAAAAACTTAAGAAATATCAAACTTCAGGCTTATTGATGCAATATTTTAAAAAGAAAAGTGTAAAAATAACTTCAAAGATAATTAAACGATTATTTAGTGTTTATTAATTTATATATGTTTCCGAACATATAACTTTGTTTATAATATATTATATAGAAAAACATTATGCAGTAACTTATTTAAATAACTTATTTAAATAACTTATCTATAAACTTATAACTTGAAATTATAACTATATAACTATAGAATGTTATAATAAACTTGATATAAATTGTATATGATGTAATATAAAATTTTTTATATATAATATAAATTGTGTATAATATAAGATAAATTGTGTATAATATAAGATAAATTGCATTGTAATAAGCATTGTGATAATATAACTTAAAATTTTAACTATAAATTGTTTTCATGCGTAAGAATAAATATGCTTTTCAAGTACACATTTGTTTACTCTTGAATATTTTTATTGAATCGCATAAAAATACAAAACTGCACTTCTTTTAGTAATACTAAGTGCAAGCTAAATGAATTTCTTTTTCTTTGTTCAAATGTGTTTAAAGTTAAAACTTGAAGAACAAGTAGATTCATGATAATTTTTCCACTTGTTCAAATATTTACATACAGCATTGAAAAAATGTTCAATTTAACTATTTTTATGAATGACTGTACTCTTATTTCTTTTTAATTTGATTCGGCATTGTTTGCCTTCTTCTCATACTTTAAGATTTTAATGGACTGTATCGTAAAGCCTTAGTTTTCCTATTGATTTACTATCATGCTTTTAACTAAATTGTTCTTTTCTATTGTCCTGCATTGTTTACTGCTATAAATTTTTATTACTGTACACAGTGAAGAATTAAGGAATAAATTTATCTGGAATATTGGTGAAAGAATAATCTTAATGTTTAAAATCAATATACACATTTTAATGAAAGAATATGTTTTTATTTTCAACTACAAAAGAATTATGTAGTAACCTTACTAGCTTCCTTGCACAAGTAACCAAAAGTGCAGAAAATTTATTTCAATTTTATAATTATGAGACATTTATTTCAATGACAAAATTAGATTTTCTGTACTTGAGAAATATTCACTGATGCTCATTTTTCAATACTGTACTAAGGAGGAAAAATAAAAAAAATTCTTCCAGCATCCATCAGTTAGATTTTTGCTTAAAAAATTTCAAGAACTGATTGTAGAGAAATTATGACCTTGCTGACCTTCAAGACCTTTTCAAAATCTTTCATATGTGCTGCTCTTAGAACAACAAAAGAGTGTTACAAAAAGACTTTGATAACCTTACAGCTTATCTCAAAATCTTCCATATGTTCTGTTTTTTTCAAGAACGAGATGAGTGATACAAATCGACTTTGATCACTCAAAGACTGTCTCGAAATCATTCATGGGATCTGTTCTTATTACAAGAAAGGAGTGATACGGAAGTACTTTGATTACCTCAAAGTCTATCTTGAAATTTCGCATATGATCTGTTCTTACAGGAGAAGATGGGTGACACAAAACGGCATTGTTGGCATTATGAACCATTTCGAAATATTTTAAGTGATGAGCTCTTACAAGAACAGATGAATGATACAAATTGTCTTTGATAACCTTGGAGACCATCTCAATATCTTTCATGTGTTCTGTTCTTACTAGAAAAGATGTTTAATACGAAGGACCTTTGATGAACTAACCCTTTAAGACCTGATGTGAGTTGAAATTGTTTGTTTTTCTTGCATAAATAGTTCAAATTGTACAAAGTACTGAAAGTTATTTTGTTACATACATTAATCTAACAAATTAAGGATAGTCTATGCGCACTGGAATATATTATTAAATTTAGATCTATTGTGTTTGTAATAAAGCAGTTATGGTAATTTTTAAATTAAAATGATAACTGAGAGATGAAAAATTTCACTCAGTTCAAACTTGGTTTCAAATTAATATATTACTATCATGAACAGATTGGGTAAATAAATGTCTAACCAGTACAATCGTTTAAGTTTGGTCTTTAAGGGTTGAAGCATATCCTGAAATTTTGCATATGTTTTATCCTTACAAGAACTATAACAA